GAAAGAAAGGCCTGGCTTTCAGAGCTCTGTGTGATAAGACTCCGGGGAGCGCTTAGGGAGTGAGGCTTATCTGGCGAAGGTTTCTTCAGTGCTTGATGCCTTTTGTTCTTTCTTTCTCAGGCTGGATTGTCCTTCGCTGAATTACCTCCAGATGTCTTTCTGTTGTCTCCCCCCACCCCCTTTCTCTTCCTTCCTTTAAAGTTTCAGAGCCTATCTCTGTCCTAACCTCTTTGCAGGTTTGGGGAAAGTGAGAAGAATGATGGGGTAGGTTGTCTTAGAAGGCAAACTTACGTGCAGGGTCAAATCTGATTTTCACCTATGACAAAATGGGCACTATGCCCACTCCTGTGTGGCTAGCATCCAGATAAAGCTGTGATCTACAAAGGTCAGTCGAACCTGGCGAATCCATGTTCCTTACAGTGTTTGATTAGGGCCAACCTATTCATGACTGGAGCAGTCCTGGGGGCGTAAAGGTTACACACTGGGCTGCTAACCACAAGGCCAGCAGTTTGAAACCATCAGCCCCTCCTTGGGAGATAGATGGTGCTTTCCACTCCCATGAAGAGTCACAACCTCGGGAGTTCACAGGGGCAGTGCCACCCTGCCCTATAGGGTCACTGTGAGTCAGCATGGACTCGATGGCAGTGAGCCTTTTGGGTTTTATAATTTATTGGGTTTAGTGTTGAGAGCGGATGGCCTGTCTTAAAGACAGTCCCTGATGAGCCTCAGGACCCTCGTCCTTGGGCGAGCCGTGTCCCCACTACAGACCTCCTGTTCTCCGTCTGTAAAATGAGCGGGTTGGACTAGGATGATGATTGAAGTCGGCCACTCTCATGGTCTGTTGCTGTAGCATGGATCAATCTGGGCCTCACATGCCGCTGATTTCTTAAGGGGACGGCTGTCTGGCGCGATCACAATTGTTAACGAGAACAGACTTATGAGCTGTAACCAGGACCTAATGAATGCCATTTCTGTAAAATGCTGATGGCAGGACCCGTTGTGTGGTGGGGTGTGTTGACACGGCTGGACCACTTGGCCCGGTGTCCTCTGCAACAAGTACAAGGAGCTTAATGTGGCGCCTGTGTGAAGCCAGGTGTGCGAGTCACTGGGTGGCTTTCACCTTCTCCCGGCGGATGGGACAGGGCTCCCCTGCATGTTTGCATTGGTCTGAGGAGTGGAACCTGTCAGGTTCCAGACTGCCAGGGTTGGGAGGGGCGAGTAAGGCCGCTTCAGGGAAGGCCCTGCTTTACCCCAATGGCTGGAGAGGACGCATGCTTGCTCGGGACTTGCAGTGGGTGCCCAGAGATCCAGAGAAGCTTCTGGGTCCTTGACCTCACTGCGGCTGGGATAGTCACATCCCACTCTCCTTCCTATAGTGGCTCCTACCTGCTCTTGTCACCAGCCGACTCCTGACCGCTGCATGTGTCTTA